CTATTTTCATTACTATATTATTACATTACATATTATTATAGTAATAATAGTAGTAATAATAATAATATGGAGTTAACTCTTATAGAGGAAATCATAACAAAATAGCACTGGGAGAAAAATTTCATAGATAATGTGAAATCGAATTCATCTTTTGATCTTTATTAAAAATAAAATATAATGTATATGTTCACTAATTATTAATTTTGAAAAATTAATCAACAATATATATATATATATATATATATATATATATATCATATGCATTTATCATCGAAAAAAATTATACTACTGCTGTGTCCTATCTAGCACAGATTACCGCAAATTCACTTCAGCCATCAGTGGAGGAAATAAATATAAGAGACTGGATAGTAACACCTTAGTAAATTATCATATAAGAAGAAAAGAGTAAATTAGTTCGCTATTTTCGTTGACATCCATACAATACAAAAAAACCACCAGATTATTATAGGCTAGAACCTAGAATTCTTGAATTACGAATTTTGACGCATGCCAAAGTACTTTGTCAACCTTAAGAAAGTATACTTTCTTTACATCTCCCCCCTCCCAAGATAAAATTCCTACAATTTTTACTCCTCGTTTCCATCTTCTGATATTGGAAGTAATTTTGTTATGTGGAAAAGTCCAGTTTCTTGTTTTCGTTTTCCTGTTTTTATTTTGTGTACTGATTCTGACATTTTTTTTTATTATTTGGAAAGGGCCAATTCTCAATTCGTCTAAATTCATTTCTATTCAACCTATTGCCATCTTCTATATATACCAGATCTCCTGTGTTACACCGTAGATTCTTTCTATTCTTGTAAATATCTTTTTATTATATTCGTGTGATTTTTTTGTTCTTTCTAGAGCTAGTTCTTTATCTCTTACCCAATTTCCTTTACTGTTTTTTCTTTTTATTTCTTCGGGTAAAATGCTGGTGTTTGTGCCATCTAACAAATACTTAGGCGTAAAGCCGATTACTGTATGCTCTGTTTCATTATATTCATCCAAACATTCTTTAGTGATCGTTATCCAAGCTCTTTTTTTTCTTTCTTATTTATCCCGCATCTTATTTTGTTTACTAGGGTCTGATTCAGTCTCTCGTTCAGACCGTTGGAGAAGGGCGTGTTGACAGCCGTAAAAATTAGTTTAGTTTCATTTTCTCTTAGGAATTCCTTAAATTCTCTTGAGTTTATTCCCGGGTATTGATCTGCGAGTATTACTCCTATTTTGTCGGTTTCTAGCACTTTATTTATCAGCTTGATGAAGTCCGTTGCACTCTGGGTTTTTGATGTTACCATAAATGTGTATTTTGTAAAATGGTCTACCAGCAGGTGGAGATGTCTTTTTGTCGATCTTTGTCCTCCGAAGTCTCCAATGGTGTCTATAGACATTATTTCAAATGGTTTTGTTGCTGGTTCTAATTGCGACATCAGTCCATGTTTTCCTTGCTCTCTGGATTTGTTCTTAATACATATTTCACAATTCTGGCAAATTTTTTTTATATTTGTAGTTATACCTTTAGCTGCATAATAAGGAGATATCCTGTTTATCATTTGTTTGATCCCTATATGACACCATTCAGAGAATATTTCTATAAATAATTTTAAACTAGATAAAATTATCTTTTCTTTATTTCTAAATTTTTATAGAATATTCCGTCTTTTTCTATTAGTTTTGCTTTAATTCCTTGCAGTGTTCTATTTTCTTTTTGATCTGTTTTTATCTCTTTTACTTCTATTAGATTAACTATTTTTAATATTTCTTTCATATTTTCAGATGGTTCCAGTACTGGATTTCTGCTTAGACTATCTGCTTCAGCGTTATCTTTTCCCGGAATACATTTTATTTGAAAGTCATATTGTGATAAATAGTATGTTAATTCTCCAAGTTCTTCATCTGTTCTAACTTTTATGTTCATACCTTCTAATGGTTTATGGTCTGTGAATATTGTGAATTTTCTTCCGATCAGCCAATGCTGCCAATACTTTACCACTTCCTTGATTGTCAGGCATTCTAAGTAAATTGCTTTTTTTCTCTTTTGTGAATCATTTAATTTTTTCGAGAAGTATGCTACTGGCTTTCTTTTACCATCACTATGTATTTGTTTAAATATCGCACCAATGCCTTTCAGTGATGCACCCGTGTAAATTCTTATCGGTAAAATCCTGTCAAATATTTGCAATACTGGTTGAGAACATAACAATTTTTTTACATTTGTGAAAGATTTTTCACACTCTTCAGACCATATAAACTTTTCATTTTTTCTTAATAGTTTATGTAATGGATCTAGTAGTATTGAGTTTATCGGTATGTATTCGTGGTAAAAATTTATTTTTCCGGGAAATTGTCTAATATACTTTTGAGTTTTTGGAGTAGGAAAATTTTGTATTGAGATTAGATTATCTTTCACTGGTCTTACTGTATTGTGCTCTATTATGTGTCCGAGATATTTCACTGATTCTGTTGCAAATGTACATTTTTTAAATTTTCGTCTGAAACCTTCGTTTACTAATGCCTTTATTACTCTCTCTATGTATTCTATATGTTTCTCGAATGATACTAAAAAAATTAATGTAATTCTCTGAAAAATCTTTTAATTTGTGCTTTCTTAGAATATTAGATAGTATTCTCTGGAAAATGGCTGGTGATGTTTTTAGTCCGAACAGTAGACATGTCCATTGGAAGTGTCCCTCTTGTGTAACGAATCCTGTTTTTTGTCTATCTTCAATATGTAATGGAATTGACCAGAAAACGGGATTTATATGTAATTTGGCGAAGTATTTACAGTTTCTTGCTTTTAATATTAAATCTTCTATTAATGGAAATGGTTGAGCTTGTGGTGTAACAATCTTGTTCAATTCGCGGAAATCTATGCAGAATCGTGATCGTTTGTTTTCATCTCTTCTGAATGCTAGGATTACTGGTGCTGCAAACGGACTATAAGATTCTTTAATTTATTTATTTTCTAATAGTTTTGCTACCTGATTTTCTATCTCTTTTTTATCTTCTATAGTGCATCTATATAGTCTCTTACTGCAGTATTTATCAACCAGTAAATCTATTCTAGCTTCGTAGTCCGAAACGGTGCCTACACCATATTTGTTTTTTGCAAATATAAAATTATATTTTTCTATAAATTTTTTTATCTTTGTTTCTTTTGTGTTGTCCAAGTGATTCAGATCTGATCTAAATTCGTTTTCATTCACGTGTTTGTTAAAATTTATTTTAACTTCTTTTATTTCTTTCTTTCTATCTAATGTATTTATATTTTCTGCTGTCTATGTTTCTCTCTTTTGAGATATCTGTAAGTTTTCATCTTGAATTAGTTTGAATTTCTTTATCATATCCAATCCAATAATGAAATCTTCAGTCATTTCTTTCTATAATAAATACATTAACGTATTCCTCTTTATCGAAAATTTTTACTTTAATGGTTACTAAAGCTTTTGTTTGTGTCACACCATTGACCGTATTTAAAAACATTTTGTTTTTATCTTTTGTCTTTTTTTCTTTTTTTTTTTTTATTTTGACTAGTCTCGAATTTATTAGAGAGACTTGGGAACCTGGGTCATATGTTCCGTTCTCTTCTAACTTCTCTTCTAATACTATCTTTATTTTGATCAATGGTGTGGTTATTCGTTTTTTTTTGTTCTTTGCATAGGTCCACTTATATCATCGAATTGCTTCCATTTATTCTGGTTTCCTTTTTGAATCAACAGGAGTACTCTGAATGATATCTAATACTTTTATTTAGTTTTTCATAATTCTTACATGGTTTCTTTTCTTCAAATTTTTTTTTGTAAAACTCTTCTTATTTACTAGATTTTCACATTTTTTTATTTCTTGTAGTATTTCTGTTGAGCTTTGACAATTTTTTCTGTCTATTTTAGCTCTTATGAATTTTGGTAATCCTGCTGCTATAAGCATCATCAGAGTCTTTGTACTGATATTGTTGTCCATATCCAGTAGTAGTTTTTCTTTTCTCATAGCGTACTCCATTAGTGAACCTTCTTTATATCTGTAGGATATAGCATATATACTTGTACTCCATCCCTTGTCTGCAAATGGTTTCAAGAATTTTTGTTTCCATTCGTTCCAACCAGCCTCCATTGTCAATGCTGTTAGTGTTGCTGAGTGCCAGTCTAAACATGCCATGTCAAGGAATAATCTTAGAATTTAAAATTTCGTGTTATCTTCTTTAATTTCGAATTTTCGACATTCTTTTTCAAATGTCTCCAACCATTGTTCTGCATTTGAGTGTTTACATACAAATTTTTCAATCATGAATTTTTCTGATATATCCTTTAAATCTATTTGGTATTCTTTCTTCTGTGTGGGTTCTATTATGTTTGTTTCCACTAATTCTTCTAGATATATATTATTAAACATTATATTGCTTTCTGCTTCAAAATACGTACTGTCCATTTCCCATGTGCATTTGATCCATATTTGTTTTTTTTGGCCTCTTTGATTGAGGCTTTTTTTCCATTCTCTTATAGTTTTTTGTTTTTGTTAGTTCGCTGTGGTTGCTTACAAATTTTTCATTTTCCGGCAACATATATTTTTCATTGTCCTTAGTTGTGATAGAAGTTATGGCAATCATATTTGTCTTTCCGTCGCACGGTGAGGCCACACATTTAAATGCGAATTGTAGTTTTGTCGCCATTATAAATCAAAAATTGTCGTTCTATAATAACTCGAATTTCTTAGATGGGGTGATAAACGAAAATATATTTCTCTGTGAACAAAATGATAAATCTTTATTTGTTAATTAGTGCTTAGTTGCTAATTAGTCTTACCTGTGAACAAAGCAATGACAGTTTACGTTTATTATTCAAATCGTTAAATTTTATTTAATATATATTATCTTTTATAAATTTCCTTATAAACTCTCGTGCTATTTCTCTCGTCTACGTTCTATTTCTTACTCCCCGTTTCTTTTTCAAATCTTAACGGCTCGATTTGTAGGTAACAAAAGAATTTGTAAATAGCAAAGGACAATGGAAGGGCAGGCCATGAGAAGCGCGGCAAATCTACCTGAAGAAAGTATACTTTCTTTCCTTTATTATTTCATATATATGTTTAAATTCTTTGATCTTATCAGTTAATTATCAACGTCGTTATTATATTATAGTAATATCATTGTTCATATCTGAATCTACACATGAATTAATTGCATTTTTCTTGAAATGTATAATTATAAAAAGATTATCAAATATTTACTTAATATCTTTTTTCCATTACAAAATCACTTACAAAGGAAATTCATGACAATGTAATATCCAATAATATTTAATTCATGTGGTGCTTATCAGAATTTTTTCTTTAAATCGATATAAAGTGCGCGAAGGATATTCGGCCAATAAAAATGGAAATTGGTCGATACATTTTTGCCAAGGAATTTTTTTGTTTTATTTTTTCAAAATCTGTAGGTTCATTCTTATCAAAGAAAAAGTTATAAGGGTCAGACACAATCAGGACTCGTAATCGTTAGCACTTAACAAATTTGTTCGTTGACGATATATCTCGATGACTAAAGTAAACAAAAAGATATACAAATCTCGATAGACCAGAAAACATATTCATAAGATAAAAATACAATTTTTAAAGTACCTTTGAATAAATTGATGCAACAAGAAAATGAAGAAATCCAAACAGAAAAAAATCATCGAAGATACGAATATCATAGAAATGCGACATTATTAAAGACCACTTCTATTAAGAGATATTCTAGACGAGTAAAAATTGAAAGAACTGGAAAATTATACCGACCAAGATAGCTTTACGAAACAATAGAAAAAGTATAAGGCGATACAATATACCAACCAGTTTGCAAGAAGCATTGGATAGTTAAAAAAATTCTGATTAGAAGCGATAAGAGCAAAATATGACAGCTTCTTAGAAAACAATACATAGATCTTGATGATTAAACGAAAAGATAAAAAAGTTTAATGAATAAATTTGAGAAAATGGGACAGATCACTGAAAAAATTCGAAGATTAATTGCACATGAAGATCAACAAAGAAAAGAAGTCAATTAAGCTAAACATTTTACAAAAGTTAGTAGACATAAAAACATTAGAATCTGGCATATTGCTTTGAAAAGACAATATGTCTGCACCAAGCATATATTCAAGGCACTTTATCTAACAATATATATATAATCGAAGCAAAAAAGTTTGAAGAAATCTCTCAAGAAGAAATAATTTGTAAACTAAATAAACCATTATATAGACTAAAACAAACAGATAGAGAATGGTATTTAATAAGTTTTTACTAAGTAAATATTTGATAATCATTTTATAATTCAAAGAATTTTATGATCAAAGAATTTATACAAAATATATGAAGTTAAGAGTATGCTAAAAATTAGGTTAAAAATTAACCATCACGTCACAAACATTTTTTAGAAAGGTAGAAAAACGAATAATCAATTTTTATTAAGACAATGTCATTTCATTATTCTTATAGTTTTTCACAGATCTCTGATATCTTTCCTTGTAAATATGTCTTTTTATAAATACTGTAAATCTTGGTGTTAACTAGATCTTGCTTTTTGATGTAATAAGATTCTTATGAAAATATCAACCAGAATCTTAAATATAATATTGTCATCTAATAGGAAGCAAACTATTTATCCTCGGTAAATTAAAATAAAATCTTATCTCCATAAAAAAATTTAACAAAATTTATATGATGAAATTAGAAACCTTAGAGAACATGTTGAAAGTTACACACATAAAACTGCTATTCTACTACGTCACTTGGGACATGTTGCATTAATTATGAATTATGATACGTCGTCGTATTTCTAACTTAACCTAAACCTAACACAATTACTACTACTACTACTATTATACTTTCCTATATTTCTAAACCACTACTTTTAAATTATTTCCCTTTTTTCTATCTTTGATACGGCAACGGATATGTCGCGGATGCACTAACAAGTAACTTGTAACATTTCTTGCAAGAGAAACTTTTGTGACATGTGTAACAAAATATGTGTAAACATGTATGAACACATCTAAAATAATAACTGATAAGTTGAACTGATTGCCGTAATTGCTTTCAGATAGCGAAACAACGTGTAGTGTAAACACTTTTTTCTTCTTTCGCATAGTTATTTCTAACTTCCAACGATGTCCCAAATATTTTGTAAGAACTCGTGTGCTAAAGATAATGGAAAAAATGTGTTGAGCGAAGGAAGGGATACTTAGATTGATTTCGTAGTGGATAAATTTTTCCGAATTTTGGGATATAAAAAGAAAAAATTATCGGAGTAAAATACAAAAACGGAATGTCTTAAATAATCTTTCGAGTGAATTTAATATCAGTGAAAATGTAATTACACTATTTACGTAGACATTTCTACCAGGAATTAAAAAAAATATAAGTAAAATATAGCGATAATACTATGGATGATATATATTCGAATAATCAACATTATTTCTATGACGTAATGTTTATTCATGAAAAAGACTCGGATGAAAGAACTCTAACAATTTGGTAAATAAAGCATATATAAACATATATGAGGATACATGCATAATAGAATATAATAATGAGTATATAAGCATACATAATAATATAAGAATTTTTATTTAGATATACAACATTTATAAAGTTTATTCAATATTTTTATATATGTTTATATTGTTATATCATATATTAATATTCATTATATTTAATGTATTTCTACATGTGGGGAAACAAAATAGTTTCTAAATTTGTTTTGTACAACTTCAGTAATTTCTGTGTATTTATGAGCTTGTTGTCGTTGTAATTCTAATAAGTACGATTTTGTCATTTCAAAAATTATCCATTCCCCATGCCCCTCATCTTTATCAGAAGTACTTGGTGTTGCATACAATTTATTTTCTTATGTCGGAAGGAAATTGTGTTATATGCATAATGCTAACACTAAAAGTGGTTTTTTTGCAAAAAGCTGTAGTGGTTTATGATGGAACAGGATTCTGTGTATGAGATATTAATTAAACAAATCTGTGTCGTTCTTGTATCGTTCTGTGCTTTTTCTTCTATAAGACAAGAAGAAATGTTTATTCAATTCGACAGGAATCGATACATTGGATCGATACATCGATCAAGATGATCGAAGCTGGCCTTGACTATAAAAGGGGCAGCAACTTTTTTTTGTTCAAATTGAGTTTACAGTTTCTCAACAGTTTACTTGATATACTAAATAGATTAATAATAAGATCAAATACGTTTTCTACAATTTGTCTAGCTCTCAAGAAACGATAAATAAATACACAATTCGGTGCATGTTATTATACAAAAAGAGTATAATAATAGATAAGTTTTCATGGTAAACACATCATCAGCAACAATGGCATGGAGTAAAGATTTCGTATGTTCGGATAAATGTTCTGCAGCAGGAAAATTTGGTGAATTATTTAATAAAGTATCCAATAAAGTACTATTTTTGGATACATTTCTATTAGAAACTTTTTCATTAGGTTACGTCAAGATTTACACATGATTTACATCAAGAAATGCCATTAGTTCTATACTGTTGAATTCTTTGATGTTATAGTAGTAGCTGGTAGTACTTGGAGAAGCATTTATTGCTATGTGTTTTCCATCTGATTTTCCTACATAATGAAGAAAATTACAATATTCTTCAAATAACTGTGAAGTTATGTGCCGTATATGGAAATGAAGCCTTGAAAGAAAGGCAGTGTCAAAATTAGTTTGCCAGATTTCGTTCTGATGATTTTTCACTGAAAAATGCTCAAAGATCTGGCCGTCCAGTTAAAATCGATGAGATCCATATCAAGGTCATTATCGATTCAGGTCGTCATAGTACAACACGTGATATTGCGGAGAAGCTCAATGTATCTTATACATACATCGATAAAAAATTTAAAATGCTTGCTTATGTCAAGAAACTCGACTTATGGATCCCTCACCAGCTTAAGGAAATTCATATGACGCAACGCATTAGCATCTGCGATTCGCTTCTGAAACGCAACGAAACTGATCCATTTTTGCAAAGCCTAATTACTGGCGATGAAAAATGAATACTTTATAACAACGTTAATCGGGAAAGATCGTGGGTGATGAATGATTAACCAGCCCAAACGACATCAAAAGCAGAGATTCATCAAAAAAAGATTATGCTGTCAGTCTGGTGGGATTATAAAGGAATTTTGTACTTTGAGCTTACGCCACAAAACCAAACGATCAATTCAAACGTGTACGTTCAACAACTCGCCAAACTGAGCGATGCAATTCAAGAAAAGCGGCCGGTATTATCAAATCGTAAGGGTGTCGTTTTCCACCATGATAATGCAAAGCCCCACACGTCTTTGATCACTCGCCTAAAATTATTGGAACTGTGTTGGGATGTTTTATTACATCCACCATATAGCCCTGATCTTGCGCCTTCAAACTATCATTTGTTTCGTTAGATTCAGAACTCCTTAAATGGTAAAATTTTTAATAACGCTGATGATGTTAGATGACATTTAATTCAGTTTTTTGGTAGCAAAGTTCAGAAATTTTACGAACGTGGAATTTTGACACTGCCAGAACGATGGCAAAAGGTCATCGACAAGAACGGACAGTATCTAATTGAATAAAGTTACATTCTTAAATAAAAATTAAGAATTCTCCTTCTTACTTGAAATCCGCAATCACTTAGTTGCCAACCCAATATATGAAAGGTGATGATTATACAGTCGTAGGTACACTATCCTGCATTAATACTATAAACATGCCATCCATTCTCCCATCTCTTGAAATCCAACAAGCACAACTGAACGACAATGATCAGATCAGAGATACAAATTCATTGAAACTACGAAAACTCACACTAGAACCAGGAATGAACATCTATTGTGACATTTAGTCAGGATTAATCAGACCATTCTTACCAGAACCATTACGCAAAACAGTTTTCAAAGTCATCATAATCTTTCACATCATAGCGGCTGGACCACATCTTTAAATTTATGCGAAAAATACATTTGGCTTGATCCTTAAGGACGCACTCAAATGGTCTAGAGAATATCTTGCTTGCCAAAGAGGAAAAATTCACCGTCACAATAAGATCAAGCCAATCCACATAGACGTACTTGATAATCGCTTTAACCATATTCACTTGGACATCACCTTTCTGCTGAAAGTCAAACACTACCGATACTGCTTAACCCTTTCGCGACGGCGCACCTGTACCATACTTTGTTGTTTTCCGCGAAAGCGCAGTAACACTCTCTTAGTAACACTTTGTAGCGATCTCTATTCATTATTCTGCAGAAGATGTCGCTTCGCAATGATTTATTTTTGTTCCAATATTCATCAATTGATAATTTCTTCTCTCTAGACATTAGTAAGCAAAGACAATTAGTAAGACAATTAGTAAGTAAAGCGATAAAACAGTACAGTTCGTCTGTCATTGTCTCAGGTTCAGGATTACTATTATCTCTTCGTCTCCAATGATTAGTTGTTTTTTTTTAACAGTGAAATCTATCAATTCCTCATATACGAATAATTTGAAAAATCGCGAAATTTTCCAAGAATCAGATATGTCTGTTTGAATACCCGATTGTTGTCTTGTAAAATCATGAATGGTGAGCCCACAATTTTGAGAGGTTCATCTGATATCATTCGGATTGATACTTTGTTAATCACATCTTCAGTTTCATCAGATTTCGATGTACTAAGTAATTTTAATCACCGTATTTTACGAAATGATGTATTTATATAAGATTCGTTTTCATCATAACTATCCGATTCAGTCTCGTTCACCTGTTTCCATTGTTTCCTACTGTTATATTCCGTTTTAAAAAGGATAAAATATTTATTAACATTAAGAACAAAAAAATGAAATTAGAGATTTAACTATTTAATTAGCGATTCGGCCCACTTTATTTCTTGTAGCTTATTATAAATTATATGAATCTGATACACCCTATACTAACAGAAAATAATTGCACTTTTTTCGTATCTTCAGAATTTTTCGAATTTTTAGCAAAATAATTTCGTGTTGCCTTTATTCGCATAGAATACTCTTACTAAGGAAAATTCTTTATTTCTCTGATAATAAAGTCTTTGCCGTATATTGTTGGCGACAGCCTCTGTAAACCAATAAACTAACTACCGTATTTTGACGGCGTCTGCCATTGTAAACTAATAAATAATTGCCATGTATAAGCGGCGTCAGCCTCCGTGAGCCAAAAAATAGCTGTCATATTTAGACGGCATCAGCCCCTTTGTTGCACCAAGTTAATGCCTATGTAAACGACACCCGTCGAGAAAGGATTAACCATCATTGGTCGTTTCACCAGATAGTTTCTCCCGTAGGTATACCTCTGAAGGACATGACACAGGATACCATCATTACTGCACTATACGAACGTTGGATCTGTCATTACGGTACACCAATAAAAATCACAACTGACTAAGGAACTCAATTTGTGTTAGCACTTTTCCAAACTCTCGCTCAGCTCGTGGGAACAACAAAAACTCGGACTATACCCTACCATCTTCAATCCAATAGAATTCTAAGGAAAATGCACAGGATTCTCAAAGCAGCGCTGATGTGTTCCCCTAATACATGGACGAAGATCTTACCTACAGTATTATTAGGCTTAAGAATCAGCTTTAAACCTGACACCAAGGCACCCCAACTGACATGCTATATGGTATCTGTTTACACGTACCAGGCGAAATCTGCGTCACTGCTGAACAACAATCTAAGCCAAAAATCTTTTTGGAGATACAGAATTCATGCGTGGGCTTAGAAGTACATTGACTGAACATCACAACAAATTCAGGATCTTTATTTTAAATGACCTGGACACCTGTTCTCACACATTCCTGTACCGACGATGATCAACGAGATCAACAAACCAAACCAAATCACTGGGATTCCATTACAAATAAATCTAAATGAACTTACACATGTAAAGTCAATTTCAAACTTCCCGCAGAAACTCATTCAGGGAGTGGCGATCTCGTTGCGACTGTTACGTCTCCTCCAGCAGACACATCATAAATACGCCTCAGAGTCATCAAACGCACATACGGGAAACCAAAAGTAAAATATAACCTAAAGAAAAAAGACAACAAAGACCCTGAAAAGAAAAGAGACGGAAAAGATGCCGGAAGCACAAAAAGAATTATTCTTCCTTTGATTCTTTTGGAGATTTTAGCCATAGGAGCTGTAAGTCATAGTCTAATTGTATCTACTATATATTGAAAATAATTAATCTTTTGCGGACGATGAGAGAGCGTCGGCGTGGATGACAGGAATTTGAGCGCGCAGTAAAAAAATTGTCTACGTCGCACCTGTACGTTAGAAAAACTAAAGCTTTATTTAAATAACTTTTTCATGATAACAATATCATAAACATACAAATTTAGTCATGTTTACATATGAGACCTTTTATATTCAAGTTTTGTATGGTATAGTTCGAAGCTATCACCTATGTGCAGAATAAGACTTCATCACTACAAAGTTTCAAATTTCATTGAGACTATTTGTCTTTTTAGGCTAGTATATCCATGCTTATCTTATCGTTTAAGAGGACAAAAGAACGCCAGCTACTGTGCGAGAATTGGGAGGCTATATGCCGACACGCGTCCGCAATGATAAAAAGGCTTGAGCGGGTATTTACCGACACTCGTTCGCAAAGGGTTAAATAAACATATCACTATTGCAAAGTTTTTTCTACATAGTATGTTGTCAATGATAAAACCTACACATATCGTTCAAAAGCATAATATCCACGAAAGCCATTATAGTGATGTAACGTAAGATAATCTAATAAAATAAGTATAATAAGATAATATACGCGGAAGCTATTAGAACAGCATTTACTATCTAATAGGTTAAAATCAATGCATTGGCTTATTCTTTCTTGTTAGAAGCCTTTTCTTTAGTCCTGATATTTTTTTAAACTCACTAATGAGACAAAATTAATACGTCTACTAATTAATCGTGATGCCTCAATTGATCGTGGAGAAACAGTATGAAAACATGTGCACTTCGATCATAAGATAGTAAGACAAGGAGAAACAATAACAGACGAAAGCCAAAGAAATGAAAGGAAACGTTTCATAATTTTTTCACATGTCGTTTGTATTAGATATCTGTCGATGGCGAACATTTGTCGAAATAATTAAGAACATGATTTCTTGATAATTCGCGCGTCAAATCACCACATAATGTGATATATTTTTCCTTCTTTTGTTATCAAAAATTACCATCATCGTATATGTCATGATGTAAATAATTATATTCTTCTGTTTTTTCTTATTATTATTACTATATCATATATTATATCATATATTATTATTATAGTAACATTAATAATAATAGTAATATAATGAAGTGACATTTCCTACAAAGGAAACCATAACAAAATAGTGCTTGGAGAGAAATCTCGTAGATAATGTAGAAACGAACTCCTGTTTTGGCCTTCATAAAAAGTAATGCATTATATACATATATATATATGCTCATTAATTATTAATTATAAACAAATAATCGACAAATGTATATATTTTATATGCATTTTTTATCGAATAAAATTATACTGCTACACTGTCCTATCTACCATAGATCACCGCGAAATTCACGTCACGTTTATCAGTGGAGAAATTAAATATAAGATGTTGGATAGTAACAACTTAGTAATTTATCAAATAAGGAAAAAAGAGCAAATTCATTATTTTCGTTTACATCGATGCAATGAAAAAATCACCGGAATTATTTACGTCTTGAACTTAAAATTCCTGAATTACGAATCTATACGCTTGCCAATATGTGGTACATTATTTATAGAATCTCTATCTTCTTAGTCTATAAAATCTAACAGAAACTATATTTTTTCAAAAATTTAAATATTTGAGAAATTCAGACCTGGTTGACATAAAAGATTTGACCCATATTTTCTTATTTTTGCCATAAAATCATTTGGCCAGACCTCATTATCGAATGAATTACGGTAGCTTTTTCGTTTGAGCATCGTGGAACACATTTCTTTAGGTTTGGAAATGTTCAAAAAATCTGAGC